AGGGGTCAGGCTGTGGAGAGGTTACTTGCTCAGAAGTGTCAGAGTCAGGCTGCAGAGGGGCACTGGGCCCCAAGTATAAGTCCCCTTGTTCCAATGCCTGACTCTGTTAACTTCTGCCTCTTCCTCACGAGTAGACGCCTCTGTCGAGCCGTCAGGCACAACAGGTACGAAGCACCACAGGGTGTTGCCAGACAAGTCGCCATTCCTTGGAAGTCTCACAATGTTCACTTTCTTCACTGATACTAGATCTACGTTTGGGAAACCTGTCATATACTATCTGACAAAATGCTAATATTCCAGGTGTTCTGCATAATAATTTATAATTTAAACTTATTATTTATGCTGAGGTGCTTACGCTTTATGCATGAACTTATTTTTTATGCTAGTGAGGGCTAATTGCTTTTCTCAGAATTTCAGTCAGCTTTGATATTAGCAATAATTTCAACTATTTGCATGGCTGTTCAATTAAGTGGAGGTACACCCCACAGCATGCTAGCTAAGTGCAATTTAGGCTTTGCTCAGATTTTATTACTAACATGGGAGTATTTATCCCTAGAGATATTTCTCAAATGTTTACATTAAATTCAAGTAAGAGATCTTATGGGATGTAGATAGATGGGCATCTTCAAAATTGAACCGATGGAGTAGTGAAAATACACTAAAAATGAATGTAATACCTTGGATTGATTGTGCTTTACATGTGATTTCAATTACAGGTTGATTTGTTTTCACATGCATAATTAAGTCTATGGGGAAACCCAGATATAAAAGACTGGCAAGAAAATATTGGTTTTGACAACCTGGGCAGGCTGATTTTTTTACTTTGGATCAGCTTGTAGATCCTGATCTCACCATTCTGTTTTGCATGCTAAATGTGATTTGCAAGCTGCTGCTGAATGGCCACACATGCAGCTGAAACATCTGTTAGAATTTGAGTTCAGCCTTGCTGCTTTTACAGCTCAGAGCCCCCTTTGTTACTGATTGAAGCTGAACAGCTATACCAACTCACAGTCCATATTTATAAGTATTGATCATCAGTGAATTAATAAGATACACAGTCTTAATCAAGAGTGAAACAATGGAGTATCCTACTTTGTCCAACCAACTGATTGCTTTACTGGCATCTGACTCAAAAGTGGTAATGGATCTTAGGTTACCTTGGAGGTGTAATAAAGTGAAAGCTTCTCTTACCCTTATGTTTTGGCAATGCCCAATCATTGTGTCTTTTGGGGAGGAAGTGCTAATATGGATAAACTTTGTGCTGAAAAGTTCTTTAATATTTCTAAATATGCACTTATCTCTTAGAACATAATGCATGGTCAACATAAATGGATTCCCTATGCCATTCTGACAGCAAAAATATTAATAATGGTACATTGGGAGGACAAACAGCCAGTTGCAATAATGAAATAGGCTGAGAACTTGATGAAATGTTCTATTTTTATAAAGGTGATTTTTAGGCACAAATGGCTATCTGGGCTTTCTTTGCTGATGTCTATGCATAATTATCCCAAATAATAGTAATATATTTTGCTATATACAAAAATATATAGATACATTGTATATATGTAATTACTCATATTTTATGTAAGAAAAGTGTATTTGTTATATTTTTCATTTATTTTTATAAAATTCACAATTACAAATTAATGAAAAAAGGAAGGGGGATTAACCGGCATTTCACCAACAGCCTCTGGCAGCAGGAGGGAAATTCTACAGATTTACTTTCTTTGTTTTCAGTTTGGAAAGAGGAATTGATATAGTATTTGGCCAAAGATCTTGTGAGCTATGGAACCACAGTTTGGGAACAAATGCAGTTGCATGTAAAGGCAGCATAAGCATTGTATAGTTTATACTCTAGTTCCAAATTCCAACTTTGCAATCCATAAAATTACTCTTTCACATATGCACTGCATCTTGGTATTCGTCTGTTGGCTCCCTGAGAGGCCCAGCCACTCCCCAGCAACACAGGTATCTTTGAATCTATTGCTCTGCTCGAGCAGTGGTGCAAGTAGCTGTGCCGTTGGCTCCAGCGGTGCAACCAAAGCACAGGCACACAAGGAAGATAAGATGATGAAGCAAATATTGAGCTGGAGGAAAGACATCAAATTCAATCAAGGTACCACACAAAATGGTGGGGACAAAACTGATGTGGTGCATCACAAGGATAGCCGATGGTAGCTCATGCTTGTGGCCTTACCCAGATGTTTGCAAGGCTATTGCCAGCTTTTTAACTGCATCCATATGTCTGCCAATGGTTCCAGTCAATTCCCTCATCATCCATTCAGAGCTGAGAACCAAGGCTGCCATGTTTTCATTCATCAGTTCACCTGAAGAATGGATGTTTTTAACTATTATCTTACTAGACCAGTGAGTGGACATCTTCTGGCACCTTTTCTATTTTTCTGTTCACTAATGTTCTTGAAAAGCCAGGGAAAGTTGGGCCACTAGGATCTGCAAAGAAGCATCCCACTTTTACGTCAAGTGGGGGGTGAGTCTCTTCCCTCCTTCACCTGGGACAGATCAGGAAGGAGGGTCCTTTCTTGCCACAAACAGCTTCAGACAGTTCACCACTATGAACAAGGGGCTATGTTGGATTGGATCAAGACCTGCCCCTCTGTGAAGAAAATGCTCCTTTGTTTGGAGGGGAAATGAAGATGCCATGAGGCTTCCCACTGGGAAAAGGAGGAGAGGCAGCTTCTCTCCCTCTTTCCCCTGCAGCCCCCAGCAGTAGCTCCTGTGCTGTTTTATAGTTTCCTAACCTCCCGTAATACTGCTGGGAGCCACAAGAGATGAAGAAGAATAGGAGAAAATCAACTTCCCTTACTGTTGTGCACAACTACTACTGATCTTATTTATTTGGGATATTTCTAGGCCCTCCATCACTCTGTGGATGGCTTACAACAAGCTCAATAAATACAAGATCTTGGCATTATGGTTAAGCTTGGACAATTATAAATTGCTTATCCAAATGCAGCTACCAATTCAGGAAGTGAATTGAAATTTTCATAGAATAGCACACTTTTCTACAAAACAGTTACATCTCCCTTACTACTTTTAGGAAATGCACAAAACGTCTTTGAGTTGCAGTTACCAGGACAGTTTGGAAAATTAATAAAACCACCATATGACTTCGACTGCTGTGTATTATTTGGTACAAATAACTATGAACCAAAAGCAATGTGTGTATGGTCATTCTAGCTTACAAGATCAAATGAAATGAGGCTTCAAAATTCTGAGGCATTTATCCGGCTGAACCATCTAAGCCCAGCAAGGGCTGGACACATTACCAGGGAAGCAGTATTTATCCAGGTACAATTGTAGCATCTAAGGTAGATTTGCAGCAACAAACAGCACAGGGGAGTGACTAGTCCAGTGATGAAAGCAGTGAGTGGAAGCAGCATGTGAAAGACCAGAAGCTAGGCTAACAGCCTTCATGAGGTTGTGCTACTATCTGGTCTAGATCAGCAATACTATGATGCACCTGCTGCTCCACCTCATCCTCCAGAAGCAAGCCCATGGCTGGGACAGGTGGGAGAGACCTACTGCCCTAAGGGATGGTATTCAAACATCCTATGGGACAGTCCAGGTCTGATTTCATTTTCCTTGGAAAAGTAGTCCAGACTACCCTTGGAAGTTGCTGTCCATACCCTTTCTTTCAGACAAGTAAAAGGTAAAGGTTTCACCATGACATTAAAGTCCAGTCATGCCTGACTCTAGGGGGTGGTGCTCATCTCCCTTTCCTAGCTGAGGGAGCCAGTGTTTGTCCGCAGTTTCCGTGGTCATGTGGCTGGGATGACTAATCACTGAGGTGCATGGAACGCTGTTACCTTCCCACCAAAGTGGTACCTTTTTATCTACCTGCAATTGGACGCTTTTGAACTGCAAAGTTGGCAGGAGCTGGGACAGAGTACGGGAGCTCACCCCGTCTGCGGATTCGAACTGTTGACCTTTCGATCAACCAGCCCAGCAGCTCAGCGGTTTAACCCACTGCGCCATTGCATCCCTATTTTTAGACAAGTGTATCTGCACAAATTAGAGGTCCAGGTTGCTTCTCTCACAGCAGGAATAAAATGTCTCAGGCTGCTTGTACTCAAGGAGTACTGAGTTGGTGAACTTGTCCCAGTAGCTGAGTGGGCAGCAAGGATGGGCATATGGGTCACATTGTAATCCTCAACGTCTCTACAAGGGATACTTTTTTAGGGGAGGTCACTATGTGCATCAACCAATACCTGTGGATGGGACACTGTGTCACTTGAGCCTACTGCGTATGGATGACTATGCAGTATAAACTGCAACACAACTTGACATGTCTGGAGTTGGCAGGTTTTTATGATGCTCGAGATTGGGGTAAAGAAACCTCTCCAGCAGAAATATAACTGGGTGCCATGTCCATCTGACCAAGTGCAATAGTCCCAGCTTGCCAAAGAATAGCATAGCCTTTGGCATGACCCTAGAGGACGCGTTTTAAGTAGTTTCTCCTTCAAAAAATGGCTGTCAAATTTTTCCTTGCAGTGAGGGAGAACTAACCTCTGCTCTGAAAATCATACTAACATCTACTCTGAAAGGTAGGGGGAAAGATCATCAAGATGGGCACCCTGCAGATACTTCTGAATTGCTGGACTTATCCCGAGGTCTGTGAATGAGCCAAGTTCTCACTCTAGAAATGCATACTAATTTTCTGACACAGTTCAGGTCCCTCCACCTCAATGAGGGCCCCAGATACATCACAAAGCCACTCTTATGCTGCTTGCGTTGAACAATCTAGAGTGGGTGGGGGGTAGTTGAAGAAAGGACTTAATGTCTGTTGCTCTGTGGGATCCCTGATAGTGCACTGCACCAAGCAAGGTGGTCCAGGTGTGCCTATTTTCTAGTAACTAGAGCACGTGGGCAGCTCATGGGCCACAGGGTTCCCCCACACTGACAAAGCCACAAGAGGGGGAGATTTGGGCTCTTGTTTACTAGGAGGAATACTAGCCTTCACAAGTCTTACAAACATGTAATTTTTACAAAATAGATTTTAATGGATTGTACAAGATGGAAGGAAAAAAGCACTGCCTGCTTCAACTGAAACTGTTGGACGATTCTTCAGAAGACTTTGAGAAACTCTGGTGTAGACGTGCAAAAGCAGGGTGGAATGAAGGCACCTGACAGAGCTGCAGGCTCCTTCAAGGTTGCTGTGTTTACACACTGCAGACTCACAAACAAAAAGTCTCTCACCAGTGACAAGGTAAATCACAATGGAATTAGGGTGCAGAATGCCAGGGAGGACAGAGGCTACAACAGTGTAGCCAAGCCATGGTTTCACATAATCTCCAAGGCATTTTATCGTCAAATTTACTCAGTTAACAACCATGCCACATCACATGAAAAATTGGCACCAAAGTTACAGCTATTTCAGACCACTATCCTGCTTTGAGCAGAAATGCTTAGATCAGGAGAATGTTTTATTTCTTGGATAAAGGCATTTTCAGTTATGCCAAGGGTAAGATAGCAGGTTTCTTCCAAGGTCCTTTTCAATGACTCAAATGACACACATGATCTTATCAGCGGGTGAACTCATTGCTCTGTATGCATTAACACATTCAAAACATTTACACTAATCAAGGCACTGGGATAAGGAGTCATTTTACATACATCCTGCAGATCAGCCAAAATCGAATTAACACATAAGTTGCCAACCCAGAAGCACAGGATCTCTTATTTTTTGTTCAGTTCAAAATCTATTAGACATCACAGGGCAACAGGAAACATTAATGAAAACGTAACTAGAATTTATTTCAGCTGTAACAGTATGTCATCTTTAATGGACATATTTAACCATTAACTGAATCAAGTAATCCCAGCTACTTTGTGTATACAAAAATATTCCCCCCTTCCCTGCCAAGTAAAGGATGTGTCCTGGGTTTTCCTTTCCTTCTAGTTGCATATCATGACCACCTAAATACTGAAAAGTTTCTTATGAAATTCAGCAGTTGTGTAGTTTTGCTATCTGATGAGAAAGCCTATTGTGTGGGGCCTCTACATTTGTCCTGCTATATTGGCTATGTAAATTATTGAATATACAAGCTCCTTGTGAACTTCTACACAAGGAGTGCCAATAATAATTTAACAGAACTTCTCAACAAATTAACATAGTTGTACATATGCTGAATCGCCAGAGGCTGGAAAGTCATGATAATACCACACAAAATATTAAGAACAACCATTCCAGGCAACCCCTGCTTAACTATTTCAAAAGACAAAACTTTTTTTTTACCAAGATTGGCAAATTTCAAAGCACACCAAGAAGGGAAAAAACATCCACCATGTGACACTTCAGCATACTTAAGCTGAAGGAGCTAGGGATTAAATCCTGTCAGCTTTCTGAGCAAGGAAAACCTGCTGGCTGACATGACTGGTAAGTGATGAAGTGGAGCTTTGATTCCCAATTTATTTTCCTTCGATCTCCTATAAAACGTAGTTACTAAGGGAGGTTTACTGTACAATGGGAATCTCAAGAAACGTTGAGAAATACATTCACAGAGTGACAGTGATTTTAAAAAAATCAAAACAAACAGTTTGGATTTTCTTGAAACCTAAAGAGGAAAGCTGCCTGCAAAACAAGTGATTGGAAGATTAAGAGACACCATTCCAAGTGTCCACTCATTCAGTTCCAAAAAAAAAAGAGGACATGCATTTCCCTTAGTACCAGAAGGCAGGTATGGCCAGATGTTGATTTGAGCTGTAGATACATTCTCTAATATAGTACTTTCCCCTTCATGCTACTTGTCTTATCTAAATGGGGAAGCAAAGTTGGCACTTGAGCTTTAGATGTCCTTTAACATCTTTGTAAAAGGAAGACAAATTCTCAAGAACTACAATATAACATTTTGCAAACCACAACCAAAGAAGCAGCACACGAGTCTTCCAGTGCAAGGCTTCTGAAGGATAAGCTTGATGTTTGTTCTGGTCAAAAGAATTAACATGCAGCAATGCAGATGGCCCGTCTGTAATGAGGCATACATTTCAGGATATTGTGATAGCCTCACAATGAAGGGTGTAAGTTGTAGTGCTGCCCAATACCTCTGTAGTTACAGGCTGCATAAACATGCAAATTGCTTGAGCTTTCTCAGTCTCGATCCCCTCAGTTCTCAATTTAGGATCGCAGTGAAAATACAACATCTGCTGGCAAATTTACACTGTAACCATGCCCCCACAAAGATTTTTCAAAGCTGAAAAGCGCAAAATACAACTTAGGTTCAAAAATAGAAATACAATTTAATATTGACTGAGGTGATAAGATAGGCTTTCCCCTTTCCCCTAAGGTACATTTCCCCATATGAGGAGAAGAGTTGTAAAGGTAAGCTGGATTTGTTATACTGAATGCTAGAAGCTCAAAATGCAATTGCAAATAAAAGCGTAACAAAATACAAAGCAAGAGCTCAGTAAAGAAGGCTACAGTTCTTACAATATTAGGAGAAAGCAAGTTATTTTTTTGAATCCTCACAATACTTCCCCCAATAAGCCACTGCCATCTGGTGTTCCATATCACCCCCTTTTCAGATCTGTACCGAGTCTTCAGAAGGGTAGGAAAAATAGTTTTAACCATCTTCTATTTTAGTATAATCTCAGCAAGCAAACAGAGTCCAATCCAGTAGAGCCATTTCAAAAGCAAAGCTTCCTTCTCCTTTCTCTTTCTTTTTCTCTTTTTTGTTAAAAATGTCACAATTGATCTTCTTTAGCCATCCTAAATTTCTGGTTCCTCCACTGTGCCAAAGCCAATTGGTTTCTGTTGCCAGTTCAATTCCTATAATTAATGGGAGAAGAGTGGAAGATAGTACAGACCACTCAGAATCCTCAATGATACCACAGTTAAGGAATATGGTATCAGGTGGCCAAAAAACTGACTAGGCTGACGGCTCAGCAAGATGAATTTTTATGCCAGTCACTCTGTCTCAATACAGAAATGGCAACTCAAAAGCTGTGATCCAGCTACAAGACTGATGCATGTGCATGTTCAAAAGGTAAGTATGGCCAAAAAACTGCTAAATTAAGTTAAAAGCTAGAGAGCAAAAAGCCTTCAAAAGTTTTTGTATGGTATTAGGCGGCTGGATGCAAGGTATTGCTTAAACTTTGCCTTTCAATGGGAATGCGTGGCAATCACACATACTGAAGAAAAATCCACCTTTGGAAGACCAACCAAAGGTCCCCCAACTAGAACTGCATACTATTTCCTTCCCAAAGAATGCAAAGTAGAGCTATAAAAGGCAAACACACAGTTTGACAATACCGGGGGAAGTTATTAATTGGTTGGAAAGAATATAGCACATATTAGGATAAGGGAAAAAGCAAAACACACACACCAGGCCTCTCTTTCCTTATTTGGTGACAAGAAAGTGCAAGAAAGCGTTCATTGGGTTTTGTTCAGTTGTCAGACTTTTGCACATCTGTATTCTGGCCATGATAAGGGACTTTCAGATTTTTCTGCAGCACATGAGCATCTGCTGGTTCTATCCTCTTGTAGTAGTTCTTCTTTGTCTCAATGATTTCAAACCCAAACTTTCTGTAGAAGTCAATTGCTGACTCATTGCTAATCTGAACATGCCTGGGGTAAAAAAAAGAAAAGGGGAAAATGTTATTAGCTTTTCCTGAAGGCTGCAACTTGGTCCAACAGGTGTATCTGATAACCAGGAAGAAATGGGAAAGAGCAGAGAAAATATTAAAATGCTGACAAGATTATGCTGAAACTAATATTTTTAGGAAAATAATCTGAGGATCTAAAGCATGAATTGAGGACCATCCAACCTCAAATTGTAATTAATATGACCTTCAATCACCCAAGCCAATATTGTCAGTCATTTGCTGCAATATTCTGCACCAGCAAAATACATTTCAACTTAATTCTCAGCCCATCACTTTGTCACAAACATACCCACTAGTGTGATTCACCTCTAGAAAATGGCAAGCAAAAAGTCTTCCTCCCAACTTTGAAGCTGCAGCTGAGGCGAAGGCTTTTTGTTCATCCCTGCCCTCTCCTCAGCATCAAGGCCAGATGACTCACACTGCCTATCTCTTTCCACAGCAGGCTAGAAAGATAATTCCTGCAGATGATGCTTAGTTTTGCAGTTCCCAGTCTCACTGCTAAGCAGTATCTGGAGTCCCCACAAGCATTTACTTCTCTTTTGTGTTGCAAAAGAAAGGCACTACAAAGGAGGAAATGTTTCAGCTGTCATTCAGCTGAGCAGCTCTGAACATCAGCTGAAACCATGTTTCCTTCCAAGCTTTCCTGGAAATGTAGGTAGGATTCTTTTGCTATTAGGTGGAATTGCCTGTCTTCAGCCAGGGAACTGCTGGAAGGAAACAGGGAATAAGTTTCTGTCTGTGCTAGCAAAGCCAGCCAAACAATGCAGACCCTTGCTACCACTAATGTGTTCAAAAACTTCAAAAATTAAGTAAAGCAGAGTTGGGACTATGACACTCCACATTCCTGACCAACAGCCATGCTGGCTGGGGCCACCCAGATGTAAAAGAAAACCAACCATTATCATCAATTTTTTCCTAGAAACACCACTCATTCTGGGCTAACAGAATCCAGTTATGTTGCATTTGGTGCAGTTATGTCTTTTCTGGTTAGAAGGCCCAACTTAAATAGTTGCTTTTACTAAGGTTTGACAAATCTTATGGTATAAAAAGCATACGCTGCAAGTACCTAGAAATAAAATATTTAACTCCATTACATTGATTTGAATATCCTGCCTTTCTGACTTAAAAAGCCCCCAATCCAGTTATCAATTTTAACACAAATATTAAAGAAAACTCAATAAATATAAAAGAAAATATTGTACAACAGACATGCAGTAGAAAGGATAAAAGAATAACAAACCCAGACCACTATCAAATGTTCTATAACATAATGCCTTGTTGTTGTTACACGCTCTGAAATTGTCTCTGACTTGTGGTCATCCTATGCATGAAAGCTCTCCAAAATGTTTTGTCCTTCAAGCTCTGCTCAGCTCTTGCAAATTCAAGGTTTCCGTTATATATTCAATCCACCTTATCATTCACCTTCCTCCTCTTCTTCTGCCTTCAACTTTGCTTACCATTATTGTCATCTCCAGTGAGTCTTGCCTTCTCATGATATGCCTGAAGTATGACAGCTTCATTTCCATTGTTTTTGTTTTCAGGTGAAATTCTGGCCTGATTTGATCTAGGATCCACCCAAAGTATTTGTAAAGCTCTCCTCTAGCATTGTATTTTGAATACTTATCTTTTTTTCTTTGCCAGCTTTCTTCACTGTTCCACTTCCACACTGATAGAAAGTGATTGGGAATACCAGTGTGAATGGTCGAGTTTCAACTTCGGTGAAACATCCTTACACCGAATGATCTTTTATTTCTTTCATTGCTGCTCTTCCGTGTCTTCAGTCTTCTCGTTTCTTGGTAGCAATCTCTGTTTGAATTGATAATTAAGCCAACATATGCAAAATTGTTTTGAAATGTCAATTTATTCATTGAATTAAAGTTGTGTAATTCTTCTGTAGTCACAATTGTTTTTTTAAAAATGTTTAACTGCACTCCTGCTTTTGCACTTTCTTTCACTTTCATCAGGAGCTGTTTCAATTGTTGGTTTCTGTCAGTAATTCTGTATTATCTGTGTATTTTAAATTAATCCCCAGGCAATTTTCACTCCTTCCTCTGATCTTTAGATGTTTCTTAGATGTACTATGTAGCAATTGCACAGATTGAGAGACAAAATACACCTTTGTCTTACACCTTTGCCTATAGGAAACCATTCTATTTCACTAAATTGTTTTGTCTTAACACTAGCTTCTTGTCTACATGATACAAGAGCAGCTTTGTTATGCTCTATAAAGTATAAACCGAACTTCTTCCGAATTGGTGTGCTCCAGTAGCCAGCACACTTTTGTGATATAAGTGCCTCTTCCAATTTGTCACCTCTTGCTTCTTGCTCCTGCTTCTTGCTCCTTGCAATTGTGTTTCTTCTGCCATCCATTTGGCTTTTCTTTTTGCTACAGGAGTGGTCTTTTTGCATTATTCTGTCATAGTGTCCCTGTTTCAGTCCACAGTTGTTCTGATTCACTTCCAATTACTTCATCTATTTCATTTCTATACTGGCCATCTGGTGATGTTCATGTGTAAAGTTGTCTGATCAGCTGCCTGAAGTGTGTATTTGCAATAAACAGATAGTTGGCTACACAGAATTCTGTAAGTCATTCTGTTTCGTTTCTGACCCATAATCTATATTTCCCCACAATATTAGAGGCTGCTTTTGTTTCCTATTTTTGCATTCCAGTCACCGATGATGATCAGCATGTCTTGTTTTGCTCTGCTAACTTCCTCTTTGATGCCTGCATATCAGTTTTTATTTCTTCTTCAGCTTTTGTTGTTGCTTTGTATACCTGAAAGATGCTTATGTTGATAGGCTTTATAGGTTAAAACTAGCACTTTGAATTAGGCCCAGAAGCATACAGGCAGCCAGTGCAAGCAAGATCTGGTCTTCTATGTGTGGTTCTACAAGTCCCAGTTAAGTGCAATTCCTTCTGGAACAGATTGAACACCCTCCATCTGGTCAGAGAAACCAGCTACCAACAGCATCTCTGTTATCTGGACAGAGCTCCAGTTGACCTTTGTTCAGTCTACTGTCATTGCTAGGCACCAGTTTAGCACATCCACAGCCTGACCTGCTGAAGATGAGAAGGAGAGGTAGAGCACCATGTCATCAGTGTACTGATGGCAATGCACTCCAAAAGTTGTGGGTGACCCTACTCAGCAGTTTCATGTAGATGTTGAATTGCATGGGGGAAAGAACAGACCCCCGAGGGTACAGAATGCTGCAGAATCCTTAGGATTGAACAACATTTCCCAAGCACCAGCTTCCGGGGGTGATCCTCCAAGTAGGAGCACAAACCATTGCAACACAGTACCCACTACTCCCAGCTCAGAAAAGCACCCCAGGATACCATGGTTGATGGTATCGAAAGTCACCGAGAGGTCCAAGTGTATCAACAAGATCATGCTCCCCCATCTCTCCCCACTCAAGAATCTTTCCCAGGAAATGAACATTTGCTACCAGTCTAAAGTTATTAAGGACTTCTGGGTCAAAGGAGAATTTCTTCAGAAGTGGTCTCATCATCACCTCTTTCAAGGGACCCACTCACTTTAGTGACCTGCCTATTATTAAAAACATTCAACTACCCTCTTTAGTCAAAAAGCCTCCCAGAAAAGATTACATATGATCAGTAAAAATGGGACAGTCCTTGCTTGCCAGCTTTCAACCCAAATGACATGGCACAAAAGGAAAAAGGGATAGGGAGAAAACAGTAAATCTGGACACCAATTCTTATATTTAAATAGTATTTCTATAATGATCAGCAAGAACATGTGTATGCCTCAGAAGGTTTAGTTCAAACATGTGCACAGCATAGGAATGCCAATATACTCAGACTTTATTGCCCCACAACAAATGGTGGTACATGACAATTGGGATTTAACAACTGCATTGCCTTAGTGTTCTCAATACCAAAAGACCTGAACAGTATTTTCATTCTTGTCACACTATGCTAGATGGAGCAAAAAAAGTAAGCAACCGATCCCTTCCCTTAGGAGTCTTATATCTGAGAAGTTAAGTGTTTACTTACAGATAGATATTGTCAAAAGTGCCATCTTTTTCACAGATGTTTAACACATGATTCAACATTTTAGTTCCTATAAAGGAATCAAGGCAAACAGGAACAAAGTTATTTCTAATCTTTCTTAGGACGAACACAACCCATTCCAAAATCAATGCTACTCAGCTCAGAAATCAGAAAGTTAACTGCAATAGCAGATATTAGGCTTGCTACTTCAGATGAAGAGTTTACATTAGTTTTAGAATATTAGAACACCCTTCAGAATATTGACTTGAGAGGCAAAACTTTAATCCGACTAATGAAACTAAATGAGTATTTCTATTTTTTTAGTATTTTTCCTCATGGGGTACGTCAGTGGCTCTATGTGCACAGAGGATGTTCTGCAGAATGTGTTTGGGGGTTCAGTCCAGCATCTTTCACTACTGATCATTAGCTGGTCAGATTGGACTGCAGGCACAGCAAACCTCTGCAGGGATTGGGAACAAATGTTGATAGTCTCCCCCAGAAACTTGCGTATCAGGAAGGTTTCCTGATGGGTCTGGGAGATTTTTCCAGCAAATTTGGCTGGCAGTCCTGCCAATGCCGACACCGGAAATAAAGAGATCACTTCCAAACTTCTTCGGTTATGTTACAAAATTATCTTGGCTGGCCAGTATCCCAAGAAGTTGAACTATTTCAAGAACAATGGTACGTCTAATATCTAGATGGCAGATGGAAGACTCTAAACCAGAAGTGCTGAATTTACAGTCCACAGATCAAATTTATATTTAGAGAAGCTCTTGAAGGCAGCATTCTACTAGTGGATGGAGAGTTTTTTAAAAGCACAAAGCATATTTAAAATTTTCAATAAGCCAGCAAACTATCACATGATTTCTTGTCTGGGGAAAGGGGTCAGGGCCAACAGGAGGTATGGCCATCAGGCAAACCCAATTTTGGGTCTCCACCCAACTATTTTGTCCATAATTTGCCTTCTGATCTGCCAAGCTTCTGCTACAGCTTCAGTTTAATTCCATTCTCCACCTTCCAGAAGTTGACTTGAAAACTCCAGGTATTCAGCCATGGTTTATATAGCATGAGTAGATAAAGTTCTGGGTATCTTGCCACTTCATTTGCTCTGTTACATTTTAACTTGACTCCCCGCCCCCCGTTTCTCCTTTCCTGCTTCTTTAGACAGCATTAATTTTACTAGTATTGATGGTCTTAATATTTAGTGACATAATATATAATTGAGTAGGAGTGGGGTGTAACAGAATGTGCTGTTATCTTACAAGAAACTGACAATTTTATTTCCTCATTGTTTTAGCGATTTTTTAAAAAAAAAATATGGATGAGTTTCATGTATTATTCTTTTTTTCTAACATGGCAGTGTTTTTGTTCCTTTTCTACCCCCATTGTAAGGGTGAACGGCACAGCTGTGGTAATATACTATAAGTGCACTCTTTCAAATTATTCTGAAATAGATCTCTTCTGTAGAAAAGATTAGGTTTATATGTTTACAAAGGCAAATTCCACTTTCATAGTAAGTTCATCTTTAAAGTGACTTCTTGGAATGTCAAGGGACTCAGTTAAACATAAGAAAGTGCTTTCTAAGCTAAAGGAATTTGTGGTTTTTAGTTTCTAGGAAAGACCCCTGTAACATGCATGGGCCCAGTAATGAATCTCTAGCCATAGTTCGTGTATGTTTTAGAAAACTGCTCGACACTGATTATGGGTGTGTGATGGGGGTATTTTAGCAAGATCTTAAATCCTCTCCCGGACAGGAATACATGACCCCCTAAGAGAACAGCAATGGTGTGATTCACAATTCAGGCCTATATGATAAAGTATGGCCTTAATGACTCTGATGTGAGCGATTAGACATTTATATCTTCTGCCCATTATTACTCTTAATAGTTGAATTTTGTTTTGTTTTGCTTTGTTTTGACATCCTTGCTATGCCAAATCAGAGAATATCAGATTGAAACAATGTTAGTAAGTAGGCCATGCCCCAGTTTCCTTGGATGTGCAATTCACAACTAGCCCAAGGCCTTCTGGTCCATGGCACTTTAATGTCTCTTTGTTAAAATATGAGTCCTAAAAATCAGATTCTTGCTGAGCTACAATAATATTTCCAAATCAAAGAGGTTACAACCAACTCATGCTCCACTGAGTGGGAGTCTAGTAAATGCTTCCATCCTGGGCTGAACTGTTGCTTATGCATCTCCTAAAAATAAATTTTAAAAGGAACAACAAATAGCTTTGAGTGATATGTTGAACACACCAATAAGTCCGTTTGCCACCTCTCAAAATGCATGACTTTATCAGAAGGTACAGCATGTTAAATGTGAGTTAAACAGGGTTTCTTCAGAGCAAGGAGAATTTGCATTAGTTTAAGAAAGACGTTGGGTGATTAAGGGATGCTCCCATAAGATCTTGGCACATTAACTCAGGCAACAACAACATCGAAAGATCATTTCAGTGATTGAAGACAACAGTGGAAAATCATCCTGAATGCATAAATTCTAATTCTTAAATTTGTATTCAGAATTGTCTAGCAGAGGTTGTGGAGTGTCAGAGGAAGTTATGGAGGCTTTTTTCCTCCTCAGGCCAATATTCCTGTCTAGATTTTTTTACAAACCCATTTTAAGGGCACCTTTGTGAACTGAAGAAATCACAAATGCAGGAGCTAACATGATAATGGGGAAATCACTTGGTCTGGTTTATTTCCAACTGAGAGGTATACAATATTTTGCAGCTTTTAGTTCCCAAGCATTAACCTTTGTGCAATCCATTTTTTAATTGGGTTCGCTTTCATTAGTGCTCAATGATGTTTAATTACTTTAATTCCTAAATGAGATACCAAATCTTCTGCTTAATTTTCAACTCATTAATCAGTGTTGACGACAAAATATTAACAGCAATCTTGCCTGACAGATTACAAGAAATTATTTTAGTACAACCAGATCGGATAGCATTAATTAAAAATAGGCAGGGGGCTGATAGTCTCAGAATAGTTGTGGATGTGACTGCATTAAACAAGGTCAGGACAGATAACAGCTATTGTCTCTTGCACTAGGAAGAAGGCCTTCAATAACATTTATTGAAAAATGTTTAATTTTTTGCCACATTGAGAATTTATGGGTTACCTCCAGAATTTCAGAAATTAGTTTAAATTTTACATGAAACCCTAGAACCAGAGTTAAGGCCAGTGGTATTTTGCCTGAGTTTCTCTTGACAATAGTCCAGAAGATAACTTTCCACAATGTTCTGCTTTGTGTACTAACCACAAATTGCCAGCTACAATTGCATGGCAATACATGCAATTGAAGCATTTGTTAAAATCTATGTTTGGCTGTGCTGTTTTTACAGCTTCAGAGTCTCCTATGGTATTTCCCAAGGATGTGGTAGAGATCTTTTGAACAAGGGATTGCATTAGTTTTGGGATGGATGAGAACAAACAAGTTAAAGCTTAATCCAGACATTGCTGTGGGTAAAGTCTTCTAATTTGGAGGGATACAACTGTCCGGGTGGGACTGCACTCCTCCTAAATAGCCAGGGATATAGCATGAGAGATTCCGGAGACTCAGTGCCTGCCACTGAGCACCAGATACCACTGGTGGGCAAGAGTACTTTTTACAAGTGTGGCCGATTTTCCAGCTGTAGCCTTATCTAGAGAAAGCTGAAGTTTTTACAGTAACACATGTCCTGGTTATAATTCAGGTTTAATGACTATAATGTGCTTTAACATGCGGCTGTCCTTAAGAAAGGCCAGTAATTAAAAATGATGACAATGTAGGTAGCTCATTTCCTGCTCCATGCATGCTTGCCAGTTGACAGGAGAATTAGAATAATTACTCTCAGCACTGCAGATTTCACATTATACAAACCTGGCCTCAGTGGCCTGTTGCTATGGATTACGAACCATCGCTAACGCATGGACTGTTATAGGGTTTTGACTGACTTGTTACCCTTGTAATAAGCCACCCTGGCCAGATCTGAAAGATACAACAAGCCATGCTGTCAAAGGTAATTAAGCTAATTCTCCAAGCATGTGCAAAGGAGCATATATGTCATTGTAGTTTGTTCCCTCCACCATGATCATGTGAACCAGGCCATTGGCAGCCTGCCCATTTCCAGAATGAATTTAAAGCTCTGAGGTTATTTGAATGTCCTCTTGCATCTATATAAGCCTGCCCAAGTTTAAGACCAGCACCTGAGGCTCTGTTCTCTGTTTCATCACTGAGAGCCATAAGATTGCCATTTATCAGAGGCAGGACCTTTTCTGTTGCAGCCCTACATTCTGGGAATATCCTCCCTGGGATGTGCATATCTTTGCTGGCCTCTGAGAATTTTAATTTATTTCAGTCTGTTTCTTGTTTTGCATTTTAAAGTCAAGTGTATTCTGTTTCATACATTCTACTTTGTTGTCTCTGACAAGTGAGCAAAATATTTATTAAAATAATGTTTTCCCTAAAATTGAGTGCCAACTTTGTTTCTGTAAGCCTTAGCCCTGTGCTCCATACCCAAGAGCCACCTGGTCATTTGCAAGACAGCCTTACCTATTCCCAACCTTCGGTAAGGGGCCAGACATCCAAGTGTCATGATGTACAGTCTTTTCTGATTCAGAGAATGATCTACTCTACAGCACACTGCACCCACTGCAATATCATTGAAATAGGCTGCCAAAAGAGAAGTAAGAAGAGGGACAGAAAAAAACATTTGTTAAATATGACTTATCCACCATATTTCCTAGGGTCGGGGGACACATAAAGAGTACTGTATGTTTAAGTCAGTAAAACCAAGTTCCATGTTAAATATGTTACAGCGAGTCTGACCTCAGCCTTGCTTAATTCCATACATTAAATATCTATTTTCCATTGAAGCAGTAATCTGTGCCAGAATAGTGAGAGCTTTTCTCAAAAGAACCATACAATAAGCCTGCATATAGGCAGCTAACATTTCAAGGAGAAGGTTACAGTAAAACACTTTCCCTGGCATGGTAGTTTTCTACACGCAGGAAATATTCTGTATGAAGGAGCATTAATTCATATTAGTCCCCATGTGCAGCCCAAAGTGATAAAATCAAGGGAAGTTTAAGAACTGACTTCAGAACACATCTGGAAAACATTTACACATAATTGTGATGAGCAGTGATAGGCTGGAGGGCAGAACTGTAGTCAATCACCTTTCGGCAGAGGGAGCAACAGAAGAGCCCACCTTCCACTTTCGCTTGGAGCTGGAGAAGACAACTTGTTCACACAGATGGATTCAATGCCTTGACAGAGGAAGGTCCCTAGTTTTAGGCGAGAGTCCAGCTGGAGCCAGCAGTGGTGCTACTTGTGTCCTTGTTGTCCACCACCGAAACAAGCATTGGGCTTTCCCTCCAGTTGTGGAGGGGAAGATGGGACTGACCTTTTTGGCAGCAGACAGTCAGGACAGAATACCTCGGCTAGACAGGTGCAGTCAAGTTCCTGTTTCCCTCCCTCAGCTACAACAGCTAAAGTGGAGAGTGGTGAACTATCCCACTGACTTCCTATGGAGCTACACTGACTACAAGCTTTTCTGGGAGTACGGCATCCAATGGAATTTACTGAATAAGCATGGGATGGAATGGCTGAACCTTACTTGAGTTTGTAGGAGACGGGAAAGATTTGCAATGGAAAGGCTGAGGTATGGACGCCCACAAACAAGATGATCCTATCCACATAACTGGGGTAAGGTACATGAAAACAAGAGCTGAATGACTCATTTTAAATATTGTGATTCCCAGCTTCACATCAAAATTGTACTTTTGATGTGAAGTCAGTGATGATACTAAAGCACTGTCAACTTGCCACAACCTTTTCTCATTAGAAATGGATCACTGCTTTCTGTGCCAACCACAGCTTTTAAACAGTCATCAAGGGCAACTGAAGGTGACACCAGAATAGTCTACTTGAGCAACAGTGTTCACAGGACAAACAGAGTTGGAAGAGTGGCAAAAGCAGGTGTAAAGCGGGTGGGCAATGACCTCAGTTATCTCAGAAAGACACCTGGATAAAAGGCAAGCTTATGGCAATCAAGACATTGTATAGGCTGATTAACATCACAGGAAAACTTAAGCTTAGGTAACAAAAGTCATTTGGATACACCAAGATCAAAGGACAACCACCTACCCACCAAATATAAGATCAAAATCTCATACCCAGCTTGGCAAGCTCGCCGACCTCTAACACATCCTTGTAGAACTTGTCATTGTAGCTGACAGGAAAGATGACTTGGTTTAAGCGCTTCAGCTGCTTAATGTTGTGTGGTGTCACATCACCCAGTTCAATCCGGCTACTGGAACAAATCAAAACATGCTCAATACCTCTAGGAAGATATGCTAGATAGGTTAAAATATATCTTATTAAGATATGCTAGATACTTTAGGACTGATCACCTTGACACCATATTTTCACTTCAGGTGATATATAATACAGTACAGATTCACTCTAGATCTATTATTTAGGGGGAAAGTTGGACTAAAATTTAGTAGGAATAAATGCTCAAATAAAGTACACAGCTGGTGGCTCTATTCCTTTTATGTTATACAGATCCTACAAATCCGTAAATCAACAATGGATTCACTGATAGTATGCAAAGCAACAAGGATCCAACAATCACTTTTACAGCTCATTAATGCCAAGATGTCTGAACTTATTACACAAGTAGTAAGCTGCCTCTCTCATTTCACCCCAGAAGAGATAAGCTCCAACTCCTCCTTCCTTCTGTTGGCAAGTGTGAAATCTTAGGGATTTTGGAAAAGGACAAAAGAAAAGTCCATCTTATGGATTCTCTCTTTCCCAATACCTCTGCAGGTACTAACCACATGGCATACTAACCAAGCATAGATGCTGGGATGTTAAGTTGTATGAATGCAGATCATTTTCCTCAGAGAGTCATGTTTCTTCCTAACAAGTCATACAAGAGTACCCTTCCTCCACAAACCAAGAAGAACAAATATGTTTTAAAACCTTCTTAAGGATATGAATACATGGAACCAGCACATGGGATGAAATTCCAGGACTAAGAAGGCCTTATCAACTAGTACCCATCAACCTCAAGAGATCTTAATGGTAGACTGGTGAATAAAGCCTCCAACAATTATTTGATCACTCAGGCTGGCTCATAACAGCATTCAGGCAGTGCTTCAACTAACCTGGACCCAAACCATTTAAGTATTTAAGAGTCATAAACAACACTTTGAATCAGAGTCAGTAAGTTTATTGAATTAACCATGGGCCATTATAATATAAAATACTGGACTAACAAATAAAACCATAAATCAAGTATATCAAAACATAATACTAAAAGAAAGACCAGGCATAATTCAGGTTGGTGTCCCCTTTAAAGCCTCCCTAGCTCTTATCTCTTTATCTGCATGAGCAAAAAGAGAAACTCAGTAAGAAACTTGTGGATCAGCATCTGAGAAGAAATACAGAAACAGAGCCAGTCAGAAGGGGTCTCCCAGGGCATCTAGTCAGACCCCTGGCTCCAGCCAGCTCCACTCATGACATGCCTACCATAATTTCTCAGAATCGGAGGAAACATTAAAGATGGGTAGCATACTAGTAAAAAAATTCTCTAGGTTCACAATATGGGCTGGATGAGGGCCAATAAACTGAAGCTCAATCCAGATAAGACAGAGGTTCTGTTGGTGGGTGATTCGAGCTCTTGGATAGGTGACTTGGGCCTTGCTTTGGACAGGGTTGCACTCCCTCTAAAGGACAGGGTCCACAGCTTGGGAGTGCTCCTCGACACAGAGCTGTCCTTGGAAGCTCAAGTGACAGTGGTGGCGAGGAGGGCTTTCCTTCAGCTTCGGCTAATCCATCAGCTGCGTTCCTATCTGGAGGAAGATTGCCTAGCAACAGTAATGTGTTGGTTACTTCCCGGATGGATTTCTGTAACATGCTTTACGTGGGGCTGCCCTTGAAGACAGTCCAGATACTTCAGATGGTTTAAAACAGAGCTGCCAAGATGCGGTTGGGGACTGGGCATTATTCTCATATAACCCCAGTCCTCTATCAGCTCCATCGGCTTCCCATCGAAGTCTGGGCTCAATTCAAGGTGCTGGTTATTACCTATAAAGCCCTAAACAGCTTGGGACCAGGATACCTAAAGGAATGCCTTCTTCCCTATTTGCCCTCCTGCCCCCTGAAATCGGCAGCATTTTATTTGTGGAATTTTGGAATTTTATTTGTGTAAGCCATCCTGAGGCTCTCACATAGGACGGCATACAAATATCTTAAATAGACAGACAGATAGATAGATCAATGTAGAACATAGTGCAAGAGGTTCTCCACTTCAGGTGATCCAAAGATAAAGACACGCTGCCCCATTGGAGTATGAGAGTAGCGGCCAGATAAGAGGGCTTTATACGTTGTTTGGAAACGAAGGGCTGTAAGGGCCACTCTAAGGCTATAATTAGGAATTGTAACTAAGTAATTGGATCTTAAGTGATCATGTTTGATTAGTTTAAACCAAGGAGCAGCCATGTAATACAGAATTGAAAAACGGTCAGTTAGGGCATCTGAATGATATATCCAATCCCTAATTATGGGAATTATCAGCTGTAGCCCCTAGGAGACCATCAGGGATGGAATGTTTATCAATGATGGGGGTAAGGCACCTGAGTCCTTTAGGGCCTTTTGATAATAGGAGATTGAATGATTTTATGCCCTAAAGAATTAAGGCTGGAGGAGCTGTTCCTGTTCCATTGTTTTGAATAGCAAGGTGTGCATGAGCCCTAAGAGAAGGGACCCCTGTTTCTGCTCTTAACAGAGCAGCCCGGGTAGGGCAAAAGTATTCTGAGTTACTGCCAAATGAGACAGTATGTCCTCATTCCATCCCCATACTTCAATGCCATAAAAGAGATGGGGAACCACCTTGGTCTTAAATAACTTCAATGCAAGATCTATCAAATGCACTCCTTTAGTGTAAAAAAAGTACAAGATAGACTCTACAATCCTAAGAGCTGAGTTTTGACTATTTCAAGGTGGAATTTCTAGTTTAAAGTGTCCCTAAAAGTGACCCCCAGATATTTTTTTTAAAAATACACACATTGCTTAATTGGGTTATCAAGGATGCTCCAAGATGAAATTCTGAGTTTTTCTCCCCAAAGACTATTAGTTTAGTATTTGCATAATTTATGTTGAGATCATCTTCTTTACAATAGTGTCCTAACTGATGTAAAGGCCTCCTTAAATCAATTTTAGTTTGGGAAATCAGGACCATATTATCAGCATATAACAGAATTGAAGTTTTTAACTGACTCAATGATGGAGGTGTAAATTGTGGTCCTTATAAGCTTTCTACAATATTATGTATGCAAAGGTGGAAGCATGTCCTCTCCAGGGGATTTGCCAGATTTCAGGGAGGCAATTAGACATCTGATTTCAGCACTAAAACTGGCAACCATTCCAATGTCCCCCGGGTGACAAAAATGCTTCCTGTGACTGTTGAGACCCCAAAACACAACTAAAATAAGAAAACCAAACATGCCCTGGTATATACAGTATATCACAGAAGTGAGTACACCCCTCACATTTTGTAAATATTTTATTATATCTTTTCATGTGACAACCCTGAAGAAATGACACTTGGCTACAGTGTAGTGAGTATACAGCTTGTATAACAGTGTAAATTTGCTGTCCCCTCAGAATAACTCAACACACAGCCATCAATGTCTAAACTGCTGGCAACAAAAGTGAGTACACCCCTAAGTGAAACTGTCCAAATTGGGCCCAAAGTGTCAATATTTTGTGTGGCCACCATTATTTTCCAGCACTGCCTTAACCCTCTTGGGCATGGAGTTCACCAGAGCTTCACAGGTTGTCACTGGAGTCCTCTTTCACTGGAGCTGGTGGATGTTAGAGACCTTGCAATCCTCCACCTTCCGTTTCAGGATGCCCCACAGATGCTCGATAGGGATTAGGTCTGGAGACATGCTTGGCCAGTCCATCACCTTTACCCTCAGCTTCTTTAGCAAGGCAGTGGTCATCTTGGAGGTGTGTTTGGGGTCGTCATCATGTTGGAATCCTGCCCTGCGGCCCAGACTCTGAAGGGAGGGGATCATGCTCTGCTTCAGTATTTCACAGTACATGTTGGCCTTCATTGTTCCCTCAATGAACTGTAGCTCCCCAGTGCCGGCAGCACTCATGCAGCCCCAGACCATGACACTCCCACCACCATGCTTGACTGTAGGCAAGACACACCTGGCTTTGTACTCCTCACCTGGTTGTCGCCACACACGCGTGACACCATCTGAACCAAATAAGTTTATCTTGGTTTCATCAGACCACAGGACATGGTTCCACTAATCCATGTCCTTAGTCTGCTTGTCTTCGGTGAACTGTTTGCGGGCTTTCTTGTGCATCATCTTTAGAAGAGGCTTCCTTCTGGGACAACAGCCCTGCAGACAAATTTGATGCAGTGTGCAGCATATGGTCTGAGCACTGACAGGCTGACCCACCACCCCTTCAACCTCTGCAGCAATGCTGGCAGCACTCATATGTCTATTTCCCAAAGCCAACCTCTGGATATGACGCTGAGCACGTGTACTCAGCTTCTTTGGTCGACCATGGCGAGGCCTGTTCTGAGTGGAACTTGTCCTGTTAAACCGCTATGGTCTTGGCCACCGTGCTGCAGCTCAGTTTCAGGGTCTTGGCAATCTTCTTATAGCCTAAGCCATCTTTATGTAGAGCAACATTTTTTCTGATCTCTTTGCCATGAGGTGCCATGTTAAACTTCCAGTGACCATTATGTGAGAGTGATAACACCAAATTAAACACACCTGTTCCCCATTCACACCTGAGACCTTGTAACACTAACAAGTCACATGACGCCAGGGAGGGAAAATGGCTAATAATGCCCAATTTGGACAGTTTCACTTAGGGGTGTACTCATTTTTGTTGCCAGAGGTTTAGACATTAATGGCTGTGTGTTGAGTTATTCTGAGGGGACAGCAAATTTACACTGTTATACAAGCTGTATACTCACCACTTTACATCGTAGCAAAGTGTCATTTCTTCAGGGTTGTCCCATGAAAAGATATAATAAAATATTTACAAAATGTGAGGGGTGTACTCACTTCTGTGATATTGCCATGTCGATTCATACAGTATAAGAACTAGTCTTACAGTTAGTGACCAGTTCCAAAAAAGGTGAATCGTTTATTTCACTTGATCCTTGATCTAGCTCTTGCTAAAGAAACTTAGCATGTTCCAGTTTCTTTTGCTTAATTAAGTTTTTATATTGGGACTTAACAAAAGATTAGACAACCCACCTTCCCTACTGTGCCT